CATATTGATCGATTTTTGTGTAACTCTCAATAGAATTGATTACAATTACCTTAATACAGTCAGTGAGGTTTTTTCTTAAATTAAAACTAATTTATTTCAGTTACAACTGATATTGCTTCATCGTAGTTAGTGTTGTCGTCCAATTACTAAATTTTATAAATATTAATAAAGTTGGAAGAACTAAAAGGCAATTTTTTTTTTAAATTTTTGTCTGTCTGTCTGTCTTTATGTCTGTCAGCAAGGCCTCGTATGTTCCGGGTAATATGTAAGTAAATTTATCCGTCGCAAGTTTGAGTAACAACTACCGTTCAACATGTAATTATGTTCTCCGCCTACCCTATTCGGAGTCTTACTATTAAGTAAGGAATTTTTTTTTAATTAAAAGGACATGTGAAACTAATTATTTTTAAATGTTTTAAAGTTTATTAAAAAACTGCTAAATTATGTCTAAGATTACTGTTGGCGTTGAATATTTGAATGGTAATTCTATGTACTGCTTTTCTTTTAATTTTTCTTAACACTATCATCAGTCTTTGTCTGCTCAGTGCTGGACTAAGGCCTTCCTAATGCCTTTCACAGAATGCCGACGGAGGCATTCAGCATTCAACGACTTTATGGGCGCCCCACGTTTCAGATTCCTTTGTCTACTATGTCGTCTACTTTGGTTCTCCTTCGAAATTCTTGGTTTCGGAATTTATCCCGTGAAGAAACGCCAAGTATAGTTCTTTCCATCGCCCGCTATGTTGCTCTAAAGTTTTGATCCAGCCCCATCTTCAGTCCAGGTCTCCGCGCCCCAAGGCATTCGGGTTTTCAGACCTTAAGGTATCTGCGAGGTGAAGAAGGGAATTTCCCAAATGCCGTCCAGCCGTCGTATGCGTCTATCTCTTAAAAATTGCCGACGGGTAAATTCCGTAATTCTTTTTTTTATTTTTTGGCTCAAAATCAATAAGTATTGGGAGAGCTATTTTAATTTATACAAAGATGTTCATTTATCCTTTTCCTTTTTTTTTTAAATGTTTTAACTATCAAACAAAATAATTTAAAAAAATATTGAAACAGTAATTATTCGATTTTTTTTCTAAAAGCCGACGCTGATAAAACAAAACTGTTTTAGTTCTTAAAGTAATTTAAGTTAAATAATCATTAAAAAAATCTAAAACCTTTTTCAGATCCCGTCGGCGGATTGAAAAGTTGATCAAATGGAATTTCCGCTAAAAATCGTACTAAATAATAAAATTGCCAGTAATTTTTGCGTCAGAATAACTATTTTAAGAATGTTTAAACGTTTGTTTAATTAAAAATCACGATTTATTAAAAAAAAATTATATCTTCTTTTTTTAAATGAAAACGACGACAAAGTAAGTTAAAAAAAATTAACGTAAAATACTATTATACCGCAAATTCGCGCGCGACAAATTCTAGCGGCGGCTCGATTACGTTTTAATTTAGCGGATTTCATTCAAATAAGAATGAAACCTTATCAAAAAGCCAAAAAGATAAAATGTTTCATTTATTAGATATGGCTATTTTACGTACTTGCAGATTTATTTAAAATATAAGACGCACCGGTAGTAAATTGCAACGTATTCCGACTTCTTTCGAATATTTTTTACAACCGCTAGCCTTAAAATTATAACAAAAAAAAATATAGGGTTATAAAAAAATAACCGGACTATATTTTGGATACATAAAAATTGAAAAAAGTAGGACGCTTCAAGGATTACGAAGGGTTTTCGTAAAAGTATACGAAAGTGCCGTTCAATACGGTGTACCTGTTGCGACGTCTCTCTCGGGTGACATGATATTCTCAAAGTTTGCAGCTGGAATCGAACATACGTACCGGAGGTGCTCGCCTGGCCGTCAGCCGCTGCACCCGTGTACTTCCGAAACACTTTTGTTACACTTGAAAACAGTTTGAGGCCTGTTTGTCTATGTTGGGGTGACGAAAAAACTCCACGCACGAGCGGGAGTAGGTAGCGGACAAGACGTTCGTCCGCTGAGCCGATCCGAGAGACAGTGCGGGCTCTGGCGCTGGCTGCCGCTGCCGTTGCCGCACCCCTGCCCGGCCCACCCGCGGGCCTCGCCTGACACCTCAACAGCCTTTTAGGCAACGGTGCCATTGCGAATTATTTCAATTTAATATATCAAACAATTTCAGCAGCAGCCAGGATTAAGATAAAAAAAAAACCCGATAGAGATATTTTCACTTCGAATTATAAATGATAACAATATATTAAAAAAATCAGCTTTTTTAATTTTATACATTTCAATTTGAACTTGACACTTATTTACTTTAAAATATTTAATCTGATGTAAATTAAGCAATTAAGTTTTAACACCAAATTAGGCGTCAATAAGTGAAATACAAAGCGATTAAGCATATAAGCAGTGAACTAAATGATTAATTATCGTTTATTGTTTTCAACGAGATTACTACTACGATTTCTGGGAACAGAATTTAAATTTTATCCCATAAAGGACGTCTGTTAGTAATTAATTTCATCAAACTTATCTTTCATCATGGAGTATCAAGTTAGAAAACCTTATATTATTTAAACTCGTTACAAAAAAACATCGAAAAAATGCAATTTTAATCTTTAAAAAAAAACTTTGTTTTGTATAAGGATAGTAAATATAGACGACATTTTCCTAATATACAATCGGAATATTCACATATAAATTTTATTACGTAATTAATTTGTAACCTAAAACGTATCGTTTAATAAGTAAAGTGGTGGTCAATACATTTAAATTTCGACCTATTACAGACTACCCATTACACTAGACTAGACCACTGGACACTTTCCTACCCTTTTAGGCATTAAATCTTGAAAATTAATTGCCGAAACTTTCCTTCTCTTTTAGGCATTATTCCTGTGTAGTATTCAGTGAACGTAGCGAATTTTTTTTTAATAAATTGTAGAAATAAACATATGTATAAACTAATTCGGCAATACTTAAAATAATAATGGCAATACGATAATAAAAACTCTTTAACTAAGTTATTTATTAAAACCACTGTAACACGAAAGCGTGATCGTTTAAAATCAGATATGCAGTTTATAAAAAAATATGGCGTAGTATAAAAATGACGCGCAGAATTTGTGCATTTAATTGCATGTTTTGTACATTCCAATCTCCGATGTAAGATCTCAAAATGTTAAGTCGTAGTTGTCCAATGTCAAGCTAAAGGTCATTGCAAGAAAATATTAAATCGTAGTAAGTTTCGATTTACCTACAAATAGTTGATGGGTAATTAAATATATTTTTTTAACTCAATTCGTTTAAAGGAATAATCCACATAAGGTTTGAAACGTAATAAACAATATGAAGTCTTATAAAAATGTGAATAAACACAGATAGTTACAATATTTTTTACAAAGAAAAAGGTTATACGTTCTTTGGATTTATGCTTTTAAAAGTCGTGCATAAAATATCTTATTTCTTTGTATAGCGGATGCCAACTTAACACTCGCAGGTGTTCTATAATAAAAGTAATAGTGGAAAAAAGATGGCGTTTTAATCGTCTTCTCAACTTTTTCATTGCAAAATATCGTAGTTGTTTTAAACAAAGGAAATATGAAAACAGTAGCACTTTGTCGCGGAACTAAAAAAAAATAATAAGTAGCCTACGTGTTCTTTCAGACTGTGTTCTACATCTATGCCAAATTTTAGCGAGATTCATACAACCATTCTGGAGATACCTTCTAACAATAATCCATCCATACATTCGGATTTATAATATTAGTAAGATTACAAGGGTAATGCAACAATAAATACACTATAGAAATGTTTTTCACGGGTAATGTGACAATCAGGTCGATAGTCACTTATTATGTTAATCTTAATGACGTCATTGTGTAGATGGTTTTAAACGAGCGTGTGTTATAATGAAAAGCTACAGAGTTAACGTGTCACGTCAAAATAGAGATGGAAAATGAAGTTTTATAATTCATATGCTCCGCAAAATGCATGCATATAAAGGCTATTTCGTAGTTAAACTTTATATGCTACGTGTTAATTTAGTAAGGTAAGACTACACTAAATAACGCATTCAGTCACTAAGGGGGCCACTTAGTGAAATTAATTTTATTCTCTTAGACATGAGACACATTGTATTAATTCAATGTTAACGCGGAATCGAATTCTACATTTAGGATTTCGTGTAAATGAATCTTAGACAAATTACTGTAATTATTGTGAATTCTACACGCAATGTCTTTGAAATGATAAATTAAGTTCGGCTGGACTAGCAGGAAAATTTGCGATAAAGTGTTCGTAAAGATTCAGACAAAATTGGTATGAGATTCATGTCCGCCGCGTTATAAAGTAAAGTGAAAGGGCGCAAAATACAACAACAAATCTCATACAAATTTTATTACCACTTCGATACGAATACTTTGTCGCAAATAACAACGCTAGGCCTCTGTTTTATAGCGCAAGAAAGAAATAAACAACATAGCTAAAGGTTTTATTAAAAAAAACGCATGAACCAAAAATCGGTGTCATAACTGCACGCATTTATAATAAAAAACAATTATATTAAAACCATTTGTCAATATTAATAATATTTTAATTATAACAACTATGATATTGATATTTTCGTGTTTCGAAAGCTGTATTGGAAGTATCGTAGATGCGTCCGACAAACGTCCAACCTGTTGGAGTGATCACACTCGACTAAACTGGATCATGCGCAAAACGGTCTTTACAACTTGCGCACTATTTGAAACACTAAAATAACTTTTTCCACTACTAACATGGTAAGTATATCATTTAAAAGGTAATAAATACATAGTAATATATCTAGCAAAGATTTAATATGGTTTTTGACATATTTGAAAAAAAAATTACGAATCCGATTTTACGAAATTATTCAAAATAGTAACCGATTAATGATTATGCGCTAAATTTAAGCCTACATTTTCATTCACAACAGGACTGAGGCTGGTTTAGTGTAGAAGGTCTAAAATGTGAAATTCCACTTACTTGATGTAACTTAGACCTAAATCGCCTCTATCGCCTAAATCGAGAAGCAAAAGGTGTCGATAGTGCACCATAGGAAGCATGAATTAAAAATTAAACATTTATGCTACTATACTTTCTAGCTTTTTCAGGACATAAAAAAGAAACCACCTAGTTTTTAGCTGTTCTTAGACCATCGACTTACATTTCATCATAAATGACTAGCTGCGGCCCGCAACTCTGTCTGGGAGGCATTAAAAAAAACTTAAAAAGTTGTCTATGTGTTTTACTAGGCTATGTTCTATATTTGTTTTAAAATTTCGCCTAAATCTGATCAGCTGTTCTGTAAAAACCTTGTAACAAATATCCATCCATCTAAACATTCGCTTAAATAAATATAGTAAGATTATCAAGTCAACTCATTGCTTTAGTAAAAACAAAATATATTAATACAAGTATCATTAAAGTGGAAAATCTACATATACAAAAGAAAGTCGTGTTAGTTACACTATTTATAACTCAAGAACGGCTTTACCGATGTGGCTGAAAATTGGTGAGGAGGTAGCTTAGAGCCAGGAGACTGACATAGGATACTATTTATTCTTTTTTTTTCGAATTTATACCTTAAAGAGCTGTTTTTTATTTAACTTACTAATAATGTAAATGAGAATGTTAGATGGATGTGATGTAAATGTACACTAATTAAGTTTTTTTATATATCCACGCGGACGGAGTCACGGGCGACAGCTAGTTTATTATAAAATGAAACTAAAATATTCGAATAAAGTCATATTTTATAGCTTGAATATTTCCAATACTGAATACCTTATAAATTCTTATTTATATCGATATCTCGAAGCGAAGATATTCTGAATATTAGGGCAAACAGTTTATTCAGTGAAGTGAATTGAAATTCCGAGTACCAATATTTCCTGAGAGTAAAATATAAATAGGAAACGGTTTATCTCGAACATGCTAACCATTGAAGTGTTAAAATGCAACTTAAATGAATAAACGATGATAAAATACATACAGTATTTTTTAACATGACAAGAGGACGAAAAGTGTTTTTATTTTTTAGAACTGAACGACGTACCAGGAATTCTTCAGCTAAATTCCTTGCCAATATGTATAACCGTAAACAGTGTGTCACTGTTTTTTCCAAAGAGAGTGAAAGGGATATCACTATTTTTTACAAAAACTCCTCGACAGTGGGAACTCACTGTTAGATGTAGATGTAACTCAATGTATGAACTTCGTTCAATATTGACAAGGCATTACTAGAAGAAACAGCAACATTCGTACTATGTTAATAATTCAAACATTATAAATGAACTTAGCCTAGAACATATTTGTTTTCAAAGGAATGAAATAAATTCATTTGGTACTGCGCGATTGCTTTTAAACCTTAACACATTCAGTTCTCAACGGCGTCAGTAAATTGAAACTGGGTGCAACGCGCATGAATAGATTTAAATATTAGATACACTGTGTTGGTGATTCAATTCATCGTAAAGCTTTGCAACATTTTTTGTGTGTTGGTAACAAATACATCAAGCACTTTCTAATCCAGAGATTCCAAAACGTTTTCTCTTAGACTTATTGTAAAAAATTTGCTACTTTCAGTGAACTTGTATGTGTACATTTCTACCAAAACATTTTCTATAATCTTTATTTTCGCCAACTTATATCCTCCCTGTCTTTGTGGGAATTCTGCAAACACTTTGGGAATCACTGTACTAGTTTTAATACGTTAATTTGCAACGCAATTTAGTTTAGCAATTAAGCAATATTGCTTGAGATTAGATTATATTGCCTTGATTATTCTTATAATTAATATATAAAGTTAAACGAAAGTGGATAGTGATAGTCATCTCCATCCCAACTTTGTTAGACCTGGGTAATTTTTTAAACCAAATTTTCAGCAAAATATGTCTAAATTTAGGGTTTCTGTACATTATATAGCAGTGGGAATACTTTGAAATAGTTAACTTACCTGGGATTGATGTGGTCCAGTAATAAACTTT